CAAAAAGTTCCAATATTGGTCTCTCACTGTTTTTCTATTATTTTTGCTTTGTCAGTTTATAAATCTTTTACTATTCCTGAAATGAAAATATTACAATTCATTAAGAACAATTAATAAGGGGTGTGCATGAATGGATTAGGTTGTGGATCTCCTTTTAACTTATTCCTACACCAACACTTGCGCCCCACCTGAGAGAAAAACTAAAGTTCTACGCTTTTTTTGGAGGATTTGTTTATGACTAAATTTCTAACATCTTGTCATTCAGGTTCAAACAAACGTACTCGCATTGCCTGTTTTATTTCAACGAAAAGTTGAGTCTGGCAGTTCTCCAGAAGAATTTCAGATAAAGTAATAATTTTCTGAATGTATGTCACTGCTCATTTGAATGTAATGCAGAATTTCAAGAACGAGATATATAGAAACATAAGTTGGTAATGGAATAACTTGATTAAAATGATTAAGGTGCAGAGAAACAAGATGACATAAAGAAGCAAACATTAACAAAGAAAAACAGTGAGAGACCAATATTGGAACTTTTTGAATTCATTCAAGCTTTTTTCTTTATAAAAAGAAAAACCGTCTTGTCAAGTCGTACTAGTGCAGATACATGAATGATGTATATACATGTGAGAAGAAAATCATATCGAAACTGTTCAGCACTTAAAATAGACTAACAATTGATTAATAGAGAATTATTCATTATTCTTTAAAGAATAACAACAGAAAAAAAATTCAAGAAAAACAAATGCAATTCTGATTACACAACATTTAGAGTAAAAAGATGTAAATCGGTGACCGAATGACTTCATTAATGACTAATAGAGAGATGAAAAGGAGCACGATAGAAGATAAACTTCTTTGTCATTCTTGATAAAGATCTTCGATATTTAAATTTTTTGTTTTGAGTTTTGAGACATTTATGATAATTCTAAAGTCAAAAATAGAGTTACATAATCTTTTACTTCCTCGCCAATGGTTCTTCAACATCTACAAGCAAACTCACCAGTAAAAAGAAGACTGTTATTCAAGAGTCTACCCAGACTAAATAGGTAAAAACATGTAGTTGTTTATTATTAGCGGCATACAATGTCCTCAGGCTTATTAATGGTGTGGAGGCCGGTGACACAAAAAGGGTTCGTTTTCTGTAAACGAAGATTACTTAAAAGAATAATACAAAAAACGATGTGATTTGAACGTTTTTTTCGATAAGCACAATAAATGAAGTAGAATACTGTACGATGCAAAAGTTTTCGGGAAACCTCAAATGTCTGTTAGACCATACTGTCAATTTCTAAACCAATTTAAGTTTTTGCTATTGAAAATAGCAATATCTGAACTATCAATTTTGCACTCGACATATTGTTCCAGAACAAATCAGGGAGAGGTGTGGGTGTGGGTGTTTGTAAAAAGTAAACTAACATTCATACCCACACCCACATCTCGTCTCCAATGGCTTTCTAGGCTAAAAAATTATTCCTGGCACACTAAAGTAGTGTTCATTTCAAAATAGAAGACAGGTTGTCATTTTCTAAATAACTTTTGCTGCACATAAGATATAGATATAATATCTACACCATTCGAAAGAACGATGTGGGGAGCAGTCGTCTTTAAAAAAGTTATTAGGGTGACAAATGCTTTTTATTGATGCTTTTGGGTCGATATTTTTTTCTTTGCGCATTTTCATTACTTTTCAAAATAATTTTAACTCAAATTATATCAAAATGCAGCTTAAATAACCTTTTTCACTATAAATCTATAACGTGTTTCATCATTCTTTAACCTCATATTCTAACCCGATTTATAAAAAGAATGTGATAATTTTAGGGTGTCGGTGTCGGTGTGCCATCTTAGAAGAATAATACCCACACTCACACCCTCTAGACAACCACAGAGATCAATTTGATTATTACGATAAGATAGTATTACACAAAATCAAATTGAAAAAATTAAACTTTTGTTAGACTTTGGTTAATGTCCAGTGCTGATCGGCACTGTTAACGTAATCGTCAATGACAACATTTGATGTTCCATCAGTAGTCAAAGCTCGCCACCAGACAGTTCGTGGAGCAAGGCGGAAGTTATTAGCTCCAACTGGAGAGAAAATCCATCTCTGGTTATGTCCACCCCACCAACGATATGCCTGAAGACGCTCCTGTGCCGCTTTTTCATTGTAGGTATCAAGAGCACAATCCTGACTACTAGCCGGTCTTAAACAATACGTACCATCACTAAGCCAGAGGAGATTCTACATCTGATTCGATTGATTACGTCCTGTATTGTATATTTGAATTCCTCTAATATAATCTCTATCGTAGGTGTCAAGGCATTTATTTGGTTTAGATTGTGGTGTCAGACGATAGGTATCATCAGAAAGGACACGAGCTAATTCTTCTTGCATTTGCCAGTAAGCTGGTTTTGGCAGATAGCTCTCATCACTAGGTAGAGGAGCTCCATTACGATAGTTAGAGAAGGAAGGTATCCAACTATAGCGATCAGTGAAACCCCCTGTGATGAATGCACGACAGTTTGAAGAAAAGTGAAGAACATATTTGACGAAAGAATGGTAAACAAGTCGTTGTTTCTCGAGATCATTGGCATTTTGAGGTTTGCTATCGTTCATTGGGAGAGCCACATCGAGTTCTGTTACTATGAATTCGAATCCATTATCAATCAATCGTTGGACATTTTGATAGTATTGATCTCCGGATCGAAGCATTGCCCAAAGCCCTACATGCCATTGCAATCCAACTCCATGAATAATTGCTCCTTGTGATCTTGCCCATGTAATCAGTTGAAAAGCGCTATTGGCTTTCGATCCCATACCCTCAATATTATAATCATTGTAATAGAGTTTTGCTTGAGGATCGGTTAGATGTGCAAAGATAAATGCATATTTGAAAAAATCTTGACCCAACTTTCGGTACCAAAAGCAGTTTCACATATTGAATAGGCGACTATTGTTCTGAGCGTTATCAACTGCTTCATTGACAACATCCCATGACGGAATTTTACCTCGATAACGACCAATAACAGCTTTAATATAATCGTTTAAAAGAGACTTGGCTTTGTCCGATGTTATTGAAGACTCTTGCTGCAATAACCAATTGGGAATTCTCTGATCTGTAGCCTAAATTAAAGTATGTCCTCGAATTTGCATTGAGTTCTGTTGAGCCTAGCCTGTTGATTCTGATGTGGCTTCCAGTAGTCAATCCGTATCATTCCAATCATAATTGTTTTCACCACGCGAGAGTTTCTGTGGTTTTAAATCATTCTCTGGTTCAATCAGATGATAGTTTTTCATAATGTACAGATTGAATCGACCATCATCTACATTCTTTCGCAAATTTCCAATGCTGGCTGCTGTGCCAAATGTCAGACCACGAATTGAGACAGATGCCCTTAATCCAATTGGACCTTGACCCCGCACAGCAAGATTGCGCAGGCATGACATCAACAATATTATTCTTCTCCAATCCATCATCAATCACTAAATCAAATTAAACTTAGAAAAACTATTCTCTAACTGCTGATCATTGTTCTTTATATATTTATCATTGTTTAGTGATAACCTTCTGCAGAGAATCAAGTAAAGTTCGATTCTACTAATCTCCTCACCTGTGTCACTTTTTTGTCTGTTGTCGTTCGTATTCTATTTGTCGAAATGGACTGATGCATGATGATTTTCTATATATGAAAGATCATATTTCGTTTCGATTAATTTAAAAATGGGTACCATGATTGCCATTGAATCGACAATAGAATAAAGGATACAGAGAAGCAACATGAA